TTTTTCTCCAATACACGCAACTTTGCATCTAGCAATTCTTCTTCCAATTGGATTTCGTATAACTGAATAGCGGTTTTCGTTTTCGGCTCTCCCGGCGAATCGTTCAAATTTTCTTGTTCGCTTTCATCATTCGTATTTAACTTACGATCGTCAGCGCAGCTTTTCTCGGAATTACTCTGTATCGCCTGATCGGAATTCTTTTTTCCCGTAGAATTTTTCCCAAGTTTTGCGGAGTACATCGCACGCAAATCTGCAACTGTGGCATCTTTCCCAAAAATTACACCCGCTGCTCGCAATTCTGTAGCCAACTGAGTCTTATTCATGGTATTTTCCATTTTTCGGATCCTGTCCGCAGAATGCTGTTATAAAACTAATCGCTTCAAGATTCAAAGTTGAACTGCCGCTGAATGTTCTTGTTTTATTATTGTGACTTTTTGACATTTGCTATTCACGATGAAAGGTAGTGGCCACCTCGGCTGACAGTAAACAATAATTACATACGTATATTATTCAAACTATTACATTGTTGGCAACCCACAAGTGTAGACTTTAATTTTGATATGTCATTGTAGAACTAGGATCCGTTATTGTATCCCGTTTGCATATTCTTTCATTATTTCTTTTCTTTTCCGTCTGCCGATACCTAAGCACGTTGTAACGTAATACGCGGTAAGCCATATAATATCCAAGTTCGTATTTAAGATCTTATAATTTGTATTGTATTATTCTTGTATGTATATTTTGTAAATAAAGATTAAGCTACGGCTACCCCCTCAACCATAACAGTGGCGACGAAGAAAAACAACTCTTTTCGAGCTCAGAACAATATCAAAAATGGCGACATTAGAGCAGGTGGTTGCGACTCTTCTATCAAGACAGCAAGAAACCGCGGAGCAACAAAAAACTGCTCTTGGAACGTTTAATTGCTGTGACAGCAAATTATACCAATGGACAAAATGAGCGGGGCTCACCAACAAACAGTACATTGGGCGGATCAGAAGCTCTAATGGAAACTCTTGCGAAGAGCATACGTGAATTCGCTTATGACCCTGAGGAAGGTCAAACTTTTGCCAAATGGTACGTGCGGTATGAGGATAATTTTAATGTGGAAGCTGCGTCACTGGATGATGCCGCAAAAGTGCGCTTGCTCCTAAGGAAGGTAAGCACGAATGTGTTCGACAAATATCGGGACTATATTTTGCCTGCCCAGCCGCGTGATATCAAGTTCGAGGACACTATTGCAACGCTAAAAAAACTTTTGGGAAAAAGGAGTCACAGTTCAGTATTAGGGTAAAATGCATACAGAATGTGCGTATGAATGACGAAGAAGTTATAACATATGCAGCCCGAGTCAATAGGTTATGTGAAAATTTTAATCTTCGGGATTGTACGGGTAATAATTTTAAATGTCTAATGTTCGTTCACGGCATGCAATCGGCATCTGACGAAGATCTGCGCGCGAGACTTCTATCTTTGCTGGACTCGGAAACTAGTGAAAGACCTTTAACAATCGATAATTTAGTAGCAGAAATACAGCGTATTAAGAACTTAAAAAATGATGCACTCGTATGTGCTAACCCAACGAAAGTTCAAGCGGTTTCAGAACACAAGCAAGCGAAAGTCGATACTAAGGCATTGCCAAGCAGACCTTGCTGGCAATGTGGTCGTATTCATTTTGTTCGTGAGTGTAGCTTTACCAGCCATAAATGCACGCAATGTGGTAAAGTGGGTCACAAAGGTTATTGTTCATGCTTTTCGGAACGGAAACCGGCGATGGCGAAACGTAACGAGACAAAGAAAAAGAGTAGGAAGCGGATATTTATTAGAAGCGTATTTACAGCGTGTGAAAATGGTTCTCACAACCGTCGTTTTGTGACCATAGAGATTAATGGCGTGGGTCTCCAACTCCAACACGATACTAGTTCGGACGTAACCATTATTTCCACGCAGAATTGGAAAAGAATCGGCAGTCCTTCATTGCGCTCATGTCAGAAATCATTTCGTGATGCTTCGGCAAATCAAATTTCGATTGCTGGAGAATTTGAGGCAGACATTGTAATGAAAGGAAAGAAAAAGCAAGCAACAATCACTGTGTCACCTAACCTTAATTTATTAGGCACAGACATTATCTCGCTTTTTGAGTTATGGGACACTCGCATAACAGAATACACGTCATGCAGGAACGTTCAAACCAGCAGTAAATTAACACAACCAAATTTGCTTTCGGTGTTTCCGAGTATATTTAGAGACGAAATTGGTCACTTCACGGCACAAAAAGTTCACCTACAACTTAAACCACAAGCAGTTCCTGTGTTCCGTCCCAAAAGATCGATTGCGTACGCAGCTCGCGACCAAGTTGAAAGAGAACTGAAAAGATTAGAAGATGAGGGTATTATATCTCCAATCAACTTTTCAAAATGGTCAGCACCAATCGTAGTGGTAAAAAAAGCATCAGGCGATGTGCGCATATGTGGAGATTATTCCACAGGTCTCAACGATCAGCTTGAACCTCACACTTTTCCACTACCACTTCCAGACGAAATATTTGTTAATTTCAACGGCTGCTCATATTTTTCTATAGTGGATCTCAACAACGCGTACATGCAGATAGAAGTTGATGAAGATACCAAGAAACTTTTAGTGATCAACACGCATCGAGGGTTATACACATTCAATCGTTTAGCACCAGGAGTTAAATCTGCACCCGGGGCATTTCAACAAGTTATGGAATCACTTCTATCGGGAATTCCTGGAGTGTTCCCGTACTTAGACGATGTTGTTATAGCCACTAAAAGTAAAGAGCAAAACATTAACGCAGTGATTCAGATATTCGAACGTTTTAAGTTACACAACATCACTGTCAACTTCAACAAGTGGAAGTTTTTTCAGAAGTCCTGTACTTATCTGGGTTATCACATCGATAAAAATGGAATTAGCCCAGATAAGAGCAAAATTAACAAAATTTTGGAACTACCGCCTCCGAAAGATGTAAGCGAGCTTCGAACATTTTTAGGCGCTATAAACTACTACGGTAAGTTTATTAGAGAAATGCGCGCTCTGAGGAATCCTTTGGATGTTTTATTGAAAACGGGTTCGAAGTGGGTTTGGTCATCGCAATGTCAGCAACATTTCAACAAATTCAAAGAACTTCTTTCTTCGGATCTGTTGTTAACACATTACGACCCAAGATTGCCAATCAAAGTAGCTGCTGATGCTTCTAACATGGGTCTAGGCGCATATATTTGTCACATTTATCCTGATGGTAAGGAGAAGGCAATTGCGCATGCTTCAAGATCGCTTACTCAAGCTGAGAAAAATTATTCGCAGATTGAGAAGGAAGGTTTAGCGTTAGTATTTGCAGTGGTAAAGTTCCATAAGTATTTGTACGGTAGGAAGTTTTACTTGCATACCGACCATAAACCATTGCTGGCAATTTTCGGTAATAAGAAGGGGATTCCTGCACACTCTGCAAACCGCCTTCAGCGATGGGCTTTAACCTTGATGTCTTACGATTTTATGTTAGAGTATATACCTACGAGGGAATTCGGGGCTGCAGATATACTATCGCGTCTCATCAGAAACACCACAAGGCCTAACGAAGATACGATCATCGCTTGCTGTCAACTAGAGCGTGAAGTGAAACAAATTGCAGTCGAAGCCGTAGAGAATTTACCAGTAACGTTCCAGATGATCCAAAATGCAACGTTGAAGGACAAAGTTTTACAAGAATTCATCTCATACTTGAAGAATGGTAAGTGGCCGAATACGATAACCGACGATTTACGCAGCTATTATATACATAGAGACGCTTTGGGTATAGTCGAAAATTGCATTATGCTCAAAGATCGATTGGTTATACCTTACTGTTTCCGCAAACGTATCTTACAACAATTGCATAAAGGTCATCAAGGAATCGAGCGAACAAAATCACTAGCTCGGAGTTACGTTTACTGGCCGGGACTGGATGAAGAGATTAAGCGATTTGTTCAAGGAAGTGGGAAATGCGCTGCTATTGCAAAGACGTGGCCGAAAACGACTCTTTCTTCATGGTCAATAGCAGAACATCCAATGCAACGCGTTCATATCGACATTGCTGGTCCGGTAAATGGCATTTACTACTTTTTAATCATCGACGCATATTCAAAGTGGCCGCAAATATACCAAGTTAATTCAATAACTTCTGCAAGCATTTTAAATTGTATTGCTGATTTCACGTCACAATTTGGGAACCCAGAGCTAATAGTTAGCGATAATGGAATCCAATTTTCGAGTAAAACTTTCTCAGATTTCTGCAAAAGCCAAGGTA